CTTTGCGAAAATGCCTGCTGCCATTCGATCGGTGGCCTTGTACGCAAGGGAGACGTGTCCACGCTCAATTATAGTATGCGTGTGCGTGATGGAAACAACATGCCCTCTTTCCAGGCGACGCATGGAACCACGCTGATCATTGCCTTGTTAGCCTCGAAGGTTCCAAAGTTGGGTGCCTTGAAAATCTTCTCCAGCAAAGTCATCGAAGGAAGACCCAACAATCGCACCGCCGTGTCGACAGCAGTTTGGCTGTTGAAGCGTCATGCGACCACTGCAAGTCGATCGCAATGCGGCAACACATCCTAGTCAGCATCAGCACCAAATGAACATCTTTGAATGCTCCAACCCCAATCACCGCCAATGCTTTGTATGGTGGGTGTGGCATGAGGTGGTGAAGTCGTTTATCACGCTCCTCAGTCCATCTGGTAAGGTTTCTTGCCAAACGGTTAACTTGTCGTAATAGGTTGAACCGCGATTCTGGCACCGTATTATCTTCCCCTTAGGATACTGGCAGCGTGAGATGCTGAACAGGCTCCTTATCGGCCGGCCGTTTCAGGAGTCTCTGCTTGTAAGACTCCGCGTCAAAACCGCCAATGGGCACATTGGGACATAGTTCTCGCACCAGTTGCATTGAAATGAAGGGCCGTCTTGCGTTGGCTTCTGAGATGGGTGCTCTTTCTTTCGCTCTCTTCATGAATGCCTGGAGCAAGGGTGGCAGCAATCAACGCACAAGCGTGACTCCCGTTGCCGTCAGCGACAGGATCTGTCTCCGGCTCAATTGTGAGGCTCTTTCGTAGAAGAGGCGCGGCAGGTTTGACACATGGTTTCAGCCCAGAGCACTGGACACCCAGCAGCACGTGTGCCACATTGAATCCTTCCGCGGGGTCGTAAACACCCTTTCCTCCCATGTTCTTTGCTGCTACCTGTTTGAACGCCTGTTTGATCGAATGCGCGCGCATTTCGCAAATTTGCTTACCGGAAAGTTCTGGCTGGGCTTTCTTCAGGCCGGCGCTGGAGACTTTGCTCCCAATTCTCGGTACGGTTTCAGGTGGATATTCAATCCAACAGTCGGTCGCAGGTCTGCCTGGACGCGTCTCCAGACACTAAGGAAATCTGGCTTAAACGTAGCTGGTGAGTTGCCAATCGTGAAACAAAGCCCCCGGAACTTTTTCTTCACTTTTTTTCTACCCGCAACCCTGAAATTTTCTCCACGGATCGCGTTCTTTGAGCTGCCGGCGCCTTTCCACAACCAAGCCGCGCGCCCTAGCCATGTCGCCATACTTGCCCTTCTGTCTGGCTTCGCGGGCAACTATTCGCGTGATTGAGACACCTTGCCCGACAGGTCCTTGCCATTCCTCCCTCATGGCCTCCATTGCCTTGTCCAACGGGTCTGGAGACCGGTGCGTTGACAAGCTTCACCGCAAGGCTTGCAGTTTCCAACTTCGCCAGCGCCCAAATCTATCCATGCCACAAAACGTGAATAGGATCGACCCCTCCAGACCACGAATCTGACGTGCGAATATACCCACACATACATGACGATCGCCTTCCCAACTTCCTTCTCCAAGTCGATGGCACTCCCCGCCGGCTGTTTTACTTTCCTGGAACCCTTCCACAATACTATGCCAATCGTGGGGTCGATCACCAGTCTACAGGCTGGCCAAGAATTTGCCCTCGGCAGGGTTCTTGCTCGGCTTTGCGTCTCTTCATAAGCTCCAATTATACTGCCGCTGGTCACCTCCACCGATCTTTCATCGCACGGACCTGCGGCCTTTCAGTTTGGGCTGCGCTGCAGAGACTGCTTCTTTTGCACTTTTCTTCTTTGGAGCGACGTTGCCTTCCTCATCCACGTCGGCTCATTTCGAAGCATAGGCCACTCATCTGATGTACAGCACGATGCTCTAGTTGTATTCAGCCTCCTCTGACTCCCCAAGTTTGTCAAGCTTGACCATCTTGCCTTCACCATCGCCGAGATGAGCCCGTCCTTGGATTGTTCTTCTGACGTACGAGGTAAACGCGAACTATCCTCGACGCACTCTTGTCGGCGTCGTCTGTGACAACCCCCGATCCGCGAAGGCTACAACAGGCTCTTCGCGGATGATCCCCACGATCGCTTCAAGGTCATCCTCGTCGCGTCCCTTTTTGACATCAACTGGAATTTCATCCGGGACATAGTCATCATCCACAGCTTGGCCCAGTCAATTCGGGTCTTCGCCTTCTGCTACCTTGCCTGCAAAGGAAAGCTGAGCGGAATCTTTAGGACTATTCGCTCTGTCTGATGTGGAGTCTCAGCCTAAGCAGTATTTTTGCAATCTAATTCGTCTCAGCTCCTGCAAAGCAGGGGGGGCGACCAAGCTCTGTTGCCTAGGCCAGTTGAGTCACGCAGTAAACTTCTCTCTCTTCTGACTTCTGGCCGTGCTGGGCTTGATTTCAACAAGAATACCGAAAGAATCTCACCCCTGAAATCGTCACCATGCAATGGAAGCCGTGCGCTGGACCCAGTGATCTCCTCCATGTTCATGAGGTGGCGTAGAGTTGTAATTGCATGCCAAAAGCATACCAGCAAACCCGCACCGTGAGACACGCAGTGGTGCATGCAGTGGTGCGATTGACGATGAACTGGTTACTTCTCTCAGCCAGTGATTTGTTCTGCAGTCTGCCAGGCAAGCGTTGATGAGCTCTGGGGCATTGTTGGAGTAGGCTGGGTTGATCTTTCGTCGCCTTGACAAAAGCCTCGGCGCTTGTCCTCCCTGATGGATATGCCATGATCATCCCAGTGTAAACATCTCGTACAGTCACAACATGCTTTCCATCGATGTGCTTTTCGCCAGATACTTCAACCAGGTCAAAGGTGATAAGGTCGAAAGCTTTAACCTCTCTTCTGAGTGCGCCGGCCTTCATTCTGCAACATCCCGTCTTTGCCTTCATGCATGATAACGGAAAGCGACTTTGTCGCTGGAGCTGCGTTTGGGAACAGAGAGGGGGTGGGGGGGGGTGTGAACCGGACGAAAAGTGCGATAGACTCAATTGCTTCTTTGATTTCTGACGCGAGCGCCTGTTGCAGATGATGCCGCTGATGCTAAGCGTGCTGGTGATCCTGTGTTGCGTTTGCCGGGGGTGCTGGCCGGTGATGCTGGCAATGTTGTGCGTTTGCCTGCGGTTTGCGTGATGCTTACATTTTGATGCATTTTGGGCCAGTACTACGCGTGCAAAAGGCATGCAACACCTTTTTTGTGCGCATTTTGGCGCGCAGCTCTGTTTTGGTTGCTCTGCATGCGATAGTCTTTTCTGGCATTTCATGATTGTTGCCGCATTCTTGGCAAACACTACGCGCGCAAAACGCGCGCTGTGCTGTTCTGTGCCTTTCATGTGCGTTTCGGCGGGCTGCATGCATTGGTTAGGACATGTTGCCTTTCGTTTTTGGATGTTCTGCGCGTGCGTATTTTGCACGCGTTGGCTACGCATGCTTGGGCATACTTCATGCATGCGCGAGGCATGCAAATGCGTTGGTTTTACGTTTGCTTGCATGTTGCATGTAACTTGTTTTGCGTGCGTTGGTTATGCGTGCTTGGGCATACTTCACGCATGCGCAAGGCGTACAAAATGCATCTTTGTGTCTGCTTGCGTTTTGTATGTGTCATGCGTGCGCTTTGCATTTTCATGCATTTGGGCATACGCTACGCATGCAAAGACACGCAACACCTTTTGTGTGCATTTCGGCACGCACTTCTGTCTGGAGCTTTTGCATGCATTGGTGAGCGGTGTGCATTTTCTTGCGTTCGCTTGGATTTTGAATGTGTGTTGCGTAAAAGTTTGCCGCATTTTTGGCAACACTACGCATGCAAACTGCCCGCTGCATTGTTCTGTGTTCTTTGTGTGCAGTATGGCACGAAGTTCTGTTTCAACCTTTTGGCACGTGTGGGATAGGACACGTTGCCTTTCTTTTTTGGGTTTCTGTTTGTTTGTTGTTTTGCATGCATTGGTTAACGGTATGCGTTTTCCTTATGTTTGTTGCTTGCATGTTGAATGTGTATTGCCTGGCTTTTGCCGCATTTTGGGCAACACTACGCATGCAAACTGCGCGCTGGTTGTTGTGCGCCTTGTGTGTGAATTTTGGCACGCAGTTCTGTTTGGGTTCTTTGGCACGCATTGGTTAGGACAGGGCCCGCACTCTTCTTTTTGGGCTTCGGCTTTTTGCGCTCGCGCCGTTCTCTCGTGCAATTTGCTGCGCGCTGTCTCTCACTCTTCTTGCTGTTCATGTGCTCTCGTGCTACTTTCTCTGCTTGCGCTCTCGTGCTACTCGCGTTGCGGGCGCTCTCGCGCTACTTGCTCTCTTGCGCATCTTGTTCCGCGTGCGCCATCTTGCTGCTCGCCCTTCTCGTCTACTTGCTCTGCGCATGCTCTCGTGCTACAAGCTCTGCATGTGCTCTCGTGCCACCTACTTGCTCTGCATGTCCTCTTGTGCATCTTGCTCTGCGCTCTGCGTGCTACTTGGCTGCGCGATCAGGCTGGTGATTTTACCGCAAGAACTCTTCGCAATGCCAACAAGGGACGAACAACCCAAGAAGCCAGGGACAAGAAGCTAGACAGCCAAAAGGCGAGCAATGCCAAGAAGCAAGGAAAGCCGACAAAAAAACGAAAAGCTAGAAAGCCAAGAAAACGCCAACAAAAGCCGAAAAAGCCGCAAAAGCCAGACACGCCATGATAGAATAAAACGGACAACACCTACAAAATAGCTCTGCGCGTTTGTGAAGCACGAGCGCTGGCCACACAACCCTTGGGTAATTGTGTCAAAGTGTAACGCCTACTCCTTCTTGCTGTCTCTGCGCAAACACTCCAGAATCTTCCCGTGTGGAATCCACGAACACACCTGTCTGGCAGGAAGCAAAGCCCCGACACACACCCCGCCGACCTGCAAATCCTGTCAGGCCGATAAGAACTTCTGTTTCCGTGCGTGATTTCAACTTCGCATCAGTGGTTTGCTCTGGCCGGAAACGGGCCTCTGGGCACCGGCAAGAAGCTCTTGGGGTCGAAGACAAATCTGGCCGGGTTGCAGCCAAATGTGGCCCGTGAAGCGGAAAACCAAGAGCACAATTTGACTTGAATTGAGTGCAGCCAGTGTCGGGCGCTAGCCAAATGGCTAAATCCGCCGACCCTTGTCCGCAAGGGCGAGGCGCATGTGAAGGGTGTCACCCTCATCATCATGATGGTCATCATCGCCCTTCATCATCATAAAGGTCGTCATCATTTCTTTCTTTTACTTTCAGATATACATTTCAAGCATGCTGTTAGGCAGCATTGGTAATGCAGCGGATGCTACGATGATTGCTATCCTGGCGGTCTTCATCCTTATCACCATTACGCACATCTCGGAGGATCAAAGCTTGGTGTTCCAACTATCCAAAATGATGTTTTCACCTGTGTCAGCATCATCACGATGGTCATCATCGCCCTTGACATCATCATGGTCGTCGCCATTTCTTTCTCTTACTTTTACATGCACATTTCAATTGCGGAGTTGGGCAGCATTGGTAACGCAGAGAGTGTTACGATGATGATTACCCTGACAGGCTTCATCCTTATCATCATGATCCTCATGATCATCATGAGGCAGCATCGGTAATGCAGAGGATGCTAGTTATCATGACAGTCCGCGTCCTTATCACCATGATCTTCACGATCATCGTCATCTCTTCTGGGGCAGCATTGGCAACGCACAGGATGCTGCGATGATGGTTTCATCACCGTCAGCATCCTTATCATCATCCTCGTGGTCATCATCATCATCATGATCATCGTCACCCTGATCATCATCATGGTGGTAATCATCATCTCTTTCGTATTTCTTATTATATGCATTTCAAAAGTGGTGTTAGGCAGCGTTGGTAGTGCAGAGGGTGCTACGATGATAGTTATCCTGACAGTCTTCATCCTCAACATCAGCATCGTCATCATCATCTCGTATGAGGCAGCACTGGTAATGCAGAGGATGCTACGATGACAGTTATCATGACAGTCCTCATACGGGGCAGCATTGGTAACGCGCAGGATGCTACCATGATAGTTACCATCACCGTCATCATGCTTATCATTATTATCACGGTCCATCACCCTTCATCATCATGATGGTCAGCACGATCCCTTTCCTATTTCAGTTGTGACGTGGGGCAGTGTTGGCAATGCAGAGGATGCTACGATGATAGTTTTCCTGACAGTCTTCATCCTTGTCATCAGTATCCTCACGATCATCATCATCCCTTATGAGGAAGCATGGGTAACGCAGAGGATGCTACGATGATAGTTATCATCCTTAACATCACTATCCTCACGATCATCATCATCATCTCTTACGGGGCAGCATTCGTAATGCAGAGGATGCTACGATGCTGGCTATCATGACAGTCCTCATCCTTACCATCATTATCTTCACAATCATCATATCTCTTATGGGGCAGCATTGGTAGCGCACAGGGTGCTACGATGATGATTTCATCACCGTCAGCATCCTTATCATCATCCTCGCGGTCATCATCATCACCCTGATCATCATCATGGTGGCTTATTATATGCATTTGAAAAGTGGTGTTAGGCAGCGTTGGTAATGCAGAGGATGCTAGGATGATAGTTAACCTGACAGTCAGTTGCGAATCATCATCCTCATGATCATTGTCGTGGTCATCATCGTCATCCTTATCATCATCCTCGTGGTCATCATCATCACCCTGATCATCGTCGTGGTAGTCATCATCACAAGTGAGTGGCGGCGGGAAGGAACAAGCAGATGAAGTGAGAGAAAGGCGCAGGATTTTTCAGTATCCTGCTTCAGTGACACTGCTGCAGTCACCCGAAGGCTTGTTGTGACAGCATCGCTTTTTCAGCCCTGAAGGGCTTTCCTCATCTAGGAATGCGCAGCGATCGGCGGCCCACGGCCGAAGGCCCAGGCCGGAGGCCTACCTTCGGAGTCAAAAAACGAGCGATTTTTGGGGGGTGCGCATAGTGGGCAACATCCCCAGCTTCAGCATCCATGGCAGACACCGATGCGGATGATGCCGGTGATGCGGGGGATGCTGGGGATGTTGTCCACGCCGGTGAAGGGACATGTGGGAAAATGAAGGGAAATGTGGATGGAAGATTTGGAGAAAATTGATGGAAAATGCAGGGATGGATGGATGAAATGGAAAAAGGATGGACACAAAGGATGTAAAATCGATGGAGCATGTGTGGAAACTGGAAATTCATGGAAAATGTATGGAAATTGGCTGGGGACTTCATGGAAAATTGCTGGCAAAAACAAAACAGGGAAATGAAGGAACATGGATGAAAAATGCGGCAAATGGAAGGAAAAGGGATGGATGGCAAAATGTATGGGCAATTGATGGAGATGCAAAATGTGTGGAACTGTCATTTGGAAGGATGGAATCCGGATGGAACATGGATGGACATTTGCTGGAACACAGGTTGAAAATAGCTGGAACAACTCGTACATCCTGAACTTTAGAAACCTTATTTTCCTCAAATTGTTACAAGCGGGCGTCGTAAGTCACGCCACGTCGCGTTAAGTCACCCCAGCCATCCCCAGCCGCTTGGAACTACGCAAATCCGTTTCAGTCACCCCATGCGTTTTATGTCTTCCCATTTTTTGCAAAACACAATGGGCACAGAACTGGAAGGGCGATGTTGCCAACCCCAAGCGCGCATGCTCAAAACTCACTGGTTTGGGTTCATGTTGCATGCTTTTCCCGGGCCAAACCCTATTGGGCACACTGCAATTAAAGGGTTCCTATCCTTTAAACTTAATTAGTGTTTTCTGTTGGTTCCCCCGGAACACCCGACAAAAGGGCTGCCGGCGCGAGTGCCGCGCGACTCTGCGCGAGTGCCGCGCGAGCGCCGGGTGAGCCGTGCCCTCATCCCAACGAAGATTGCTTCCGCTTGTGGCACAACTTCAAGTGCTGCGGCACGAGAAGAGAGAACCACCCAGTGGCAGTGAACATACACGCATGCACACGGCACATGGAAGCCGACCAAATGTTGAACATCATACATTTTGCATGCGCACAGCACAGAATTATGCGATTTCAGAAAATGACATGCTTGAGACAACTATCCTTACATCCACAAACACAACGGGCACACTCACCCGGGACGACTTAGATCAACACGGGACGACTTACAGCACTTACCCTGTAAATCTTAAATTCGTAAAAGCTTAGAGTCTGACTATCCTAAAACTCTTAAATTCTTATAATATTGGAATATTGAAATCTTGCGATGTTAAAATCTTAAACTCCGAAAAATCTTCAAAACTAAAACTTTAAAATCTTAAACTGGATGGAAAAAGGATTGAACATGGCCTGGCTTGAAATCTCAAAACCTTTCAAAGTCTAAAAAACCTCAGTATCGTGAAATCTTAACATCTCGAAACCTTAAAACCTTAAAGTCTTAACATCATGGACTGGCAGTAGGCGAGTGGGTGGGTGCAGGACCGGTCCTGACGGGCTGGGTTCTCGGTGGCCGGCTGTGTCGCGTAGCGTGCAAATCCGGCGACGCCTCCACCCGCGCGCCGCCGACCCTCATCACTTGGTTGCCTAAACCCGGCACCTCTGCATCACCAGCTCGGGCTTGCGGCTTTGCCTGCCTGAGGGGAACGCCCTTGCGAAACATCGCGTGTGCGCAGGGCTTAGGCCGTGTGGCTGACATCATCAGGGTCTGGGGTTGAGCCTGGGTGATGCTTCAGCGGGGCTTGGTCTGCATCATCAAGACTTCCTTCCAAAAAGCCTCTCAACCCATGAAGCACTGTGAAGCAAGGCTCGCTTTCGCGCATCTTGACGCCAAGCGCTGCCGGGCATGCCGGCGATGCTGGGCGCTTGCTCTACAAAACGCCGCAAATACCGTCAAAAACTGCTATGCTGAGCGTGGGGCTGTTGTTCTGTCCGTTTTGCTTTTGTAGCTGGTTCGTGCGCTGCGCGGTCATTGCTTTTTCCCCGTTGGTTTTCGGGCCTGCTGGCGCGCTCGCGCGCGACCCCAGCCACAAAACGCCGCTATTTACAGAGTTTTGTTGCGTTTGCGTTTCCGGGCTGGCTTGCTTTTTGGGCTGCTCGTTCTGGGGCCTCTGGCGCGCGCGCGCGCGCGTGAACCTTGTGGGTTTGGGCCCGGCTGGGGCCCAGAGAGCTGGCATCCCCGGCATCATCTGCGGTTGGAGTGGGCAACATGCATAACCTAAGCCATATCACGGCACAGGATGCGTTTCTCATACAAAAACACATGACATGACGTGGTATATCTTCAAAGAGGCGTAGCCGGCTAGAGGCCTCAGCGGGACAACCCTTAGCAACAAAGGCGGGCCCCCTTCTTAATTTGGTCAATGGCTCCACGGAGCCCGACTCAAAATGCAGGCCTAGCTTCCTGACGGACCCCGCGAATCCCCTTAATAGGAATATTGATTTGTTGATTCACACCCACGTCAGCTGTTTTTTCTTCGCAGACTTCCTGCTGAATCCCATTGCAGCCTCAGATGCCATCCTCACGAGATCATCTCAAGCGGAATATGGGCAAACTGCAAGTAGCACTGAGGCAAGTCATTGGCGAGAGAAGGGCCCAAAAAGCCTCCCAATGCTGTTGAGTGTTAGAGTCTTGGATGCACGCATCCCGCAGCTCATGCGGTCTAGCCGCAAACAGCAAAAAGGCAAGCATTGAGGAAGGAGCTTCGGCCACGCCCTCGCTGAGCCGAATTTTCTCAAATCCTTCGACTTCTTGCCTTTTGTTTGCCTCGAAAGTTGAAACGCTGTTTAGCCTGAGCGCCCGAACCGCACGCCAAGCTGCTCTACTCGGATGAAGTCGTCGCGCCTTTTCTCGGGCATCGTCTTCCATCCCATCTCATACCTTGCAAGTCCCGCAGTTTCGGACGAAACAAAGCCCAGGCCCAGACCCTGTTTGAGGCGATTTCCAGAGCGGGGTCAAGATACGTTGGGACACTTGAAAGGGCGTTTACACTTTTCGAGCCAACTTGCATCCACCAAAAAGGGAGGCGGAGGACGCTTGCGATGCAAACTCTCCCAACTCCCTCCAGATTCGAAACTGTTTCTCCGGGGTTTCCGGGGGTCCATACTTCCGGGGCCGCTTGAACTTGTCCTGGGAGGTCTTCATGACCTGGCGATCAGATTAGGCGGGGGCGTCAACAGGCGACGTTGCAAGGTTCTGGGAATACAAAACTGATGGGGGTGCAACCTCCGTAAGTGAATTTTGGATTTGTATTTTCCTAAGCTGGTACGTTCTTTCTTTTCTCTTTTGTGTTTTGTTGGGAGCGCTGCCAATCGCTTGGAAATCCAAATGATACGGGGTCTTGGTGAATCAACTGGCTGCACCCCAGCATTAGGTCCCGGGCGCCTATGCCAGATTTTCACCCACGAGTTCTGGCGAGCAAAAGCTGCGTGTGAGGTTTGAAGTATATAATCAAGATGCTTGTGAAAAACGAGGGGTAAGTCCACAGCCTGGTGGGGGATTTGCGCCCTCTCCCAATGGACCAAAGACTACCCCCCACCCTCCCGAAACGGGCTAGCTGCAAGAAGCGCGCCAAGAAATAACAACTTCCCGAAGCCCGCAAAACCAGTTCCCAACTCCTTACACACTTGGCCAAATTGCCCTCCTCTCAGTCACGCACGTTGACCACTACACGAACTGGAATCAGACGTGCAGTGAGAAAAAGCGGAGGGAGACAAGAGATCGTCGTCCTCAAGTTGGTAAGCCTGTTAGCTTGTTTCCTTTCGGCCAAACGCGACCCACCATCTCAAGTTGGCTTCCGCTGGTCCACTTCGGAGACCGCGCCTCGCCAGCGAAAAGCACACTCTGCAGTGACAGCGACTTGGACCGCAGCGGCGCCTAGGAGCTGGGCGAACGAACCGTTGACGGGCTCACTTGCTGTCAGTTCAGTCGCTGTCGCTGCCAGGGTCGTTATTGCAACTGCCAACCGGGCAGTGGAGTGCACATTGCACGTGTTGCAGTTGCCAGTGAGGCCAAAAGACTTCAAGAAGCAAAGGGAGTGAACTTTCACGCACCGTCGCAACTCTCAGTTCAAACTCGCAAGCGCCCCGCATGGGAGCGACCAAGCAAATATCCATTCCTGAGGGGCGAAACGAGGAGCCTACAACTTCCGGACAATGAGAATCGCGTTTGTCGAAAAGCAGCGCCCTTCACCTCAGTCCATGTTGGCAAAACCTATTAACAGGGCTCCTCGCATATCCCCTGTAAAGATCCTGTAAGAACAAACACCTGCATCATGGGTTTGCGGTCGCGCCACAAAGGGTTCGCTATGATTTGACCCGAACTTGGTGAAACCCAAAGTTACAAGTCGTTTTCTCACGAGTTAGGCGTGACTTGAGATCTGCGCGCAAACGCACAGAAGCTTTGCCAAACCCCGGTCCTGCGGTAGACATCGCGGCTGACCTGCTCATGACTTGCGGCGTGGACTGGAGGGCTAATTGAAACGCCTGGCTTGTGCTGCGGCAAGTTTACTTGGGATAAACGTGCGGCAATTTCACCAAATCCGACGCCCCTGGATTGGATCACGGAACCGCGAAGCCGCGACACGCACTTGATCTGGAGATTGCCCCACCTAAGGCGCTTTAAGGCAGCATCCTTCTTTCCCCTTATAACCCGGAGGGTGTTTACAATTGGGGTCCCCTGGTTTCTCGCAAGCACTGACTGCATTGTTTAGTATTGGGCTCAAATTGGACAGGGGGACCCTTTTGATTTGCAAAAACAAGTGCTCAGGGTGCAACTTTTGAGTAAGGATTCTCAAAGGGAAGGCACCTTTTTTTAATATAAGAAACCTAAGAATAAGAATCGCTGTTTGCAAGCTGGAGACCTGGCCATGCAAGCGGCTGATTGGCAACCGGAGACCCAAAAATAAACACCTAAAAATAGTAGCCACTCAAGGCAGCCTCTTTGATCATTCTTTGCCAAGTTCCTTGGTTTTTAGAAAGTTTAGAATTGGTTTAGTATTGGAAAATCAAAAAATGGATGGCAATGTTGGGGTTGGCTGGAGGGCTGTCAAGTCGGATTTCTCAAGACCTCAAAACAACATGTTTTTTTCAAACGCCTTTCGGATGCAAGATCCACTCAAGAGCGCAAGTCCTTCGGCCAAGATTTGCATAGGGTCGTTGGGGACTGAGTTTTGACAGTTGGTAGCCCAAACTCAGTCCATCATCTCAACTTGGAAAACCTATCAGCTCGAACTCCAAGGGCTTCACATTTGTTACGGGTCTACTTGTCAGTTGGTTTGATTGCAAAGAGCCAACTGTCTGCCTTATAGGGGTCTGCGAAATCTCTCTTGGCTACGCCGAAGCCCAGATGCATTCTTGAAACCCAAACAACGAGACGCTCCAGAGAAGTCGACAGCAACCAGCGTCGGTCAAACTGTTTTCACCACACAGCCTCAAGTGGGTGGGATCGTGCCTGCTGGTCGATCAGCATTCATTCTCTGGAGTCGATGTCGGTGTCTCTTAGACACCACTGACTCAAAAGAGTACAACGCATAAAAGGTAAGCAAATGCCAAAAGCATGCAAACCAAAATGTTGTACAGCAAGGTATCGAGAGGGAGTGGACGTTCTCCCGTCGTAGGTCAACTCCCGTCGAAGGTGAAGCCGAAGGCGAACGACCAAGACAAAGAAGCTCGAATAAAGATTCCTTACGGCAGGGCAGGTCTCCTTACTGGTGTGTCGGGCCCTCACGAGACGTGGAAACCCCTTGTCCACATTGTGTGGTGTGGGATTGATGGAACTGTTGGGCTTCCGGCATTTCGTCGAATCCGACGCCTGTGGGGGCGAACTCAATGTCGCCTATGACCCGGCACGTGCGTGTATGCAAGGCATGCATTGGTGACTGCAAGACTTGCCAGCCATGTTTATGAGCCACGGACTTATCATGGCGGCTGAAACGTGCAATGTGCAACTGCAATTGCTGACGATTGCGCCAGTTTGAGTGGGCTCCAAGCAGGGAATTCAAAGGCTGGTGTTTGCCTACTCCTCTGCGGATTGCGTGTTTGACGGCTTCGTTATCGCACAGTTGAAGGTGTGTGCTGGTCAGCCATGGTCGAAAGATGACCGGGGCGATCAGCGCCGCCCACGCCTCGAGGAAGTAGATGGCGTTGGTGCCGCGGCTCACCTTTTGTAACAGGTTCGGGGGTAGTGCAGAGCTTTGAGAGATGCCTGTGGGCTGAATGGCTCCGTAGTCATCGACATAATGGAGAGCAGGTGTGAGGGTGAGCACCCGCGCCAATGCGATTGGAGCATCTCCAAATCGGTTGTATCCCCACACTCTGGCTGCGGACCCGAAGAGTAACACGTGGCGATGCCAAAGTGTGGGTCCGTCTGGCGTCAGGAGGAGCACGTGTGCGACCTCCGGTTGTGCGAGGGGTAATTGACGGTATGCGCCGTCATGGTAGTGATCGGGTGTGTGGTGATACGGTTGGTCGTGCGTGGAGCAGGTTTAGTTATTTCCGCTGCGACGCCAATCTTCGCCTCTGCGGATCTTGGCCTTGCCGTCGGATCCCGTCTGTTCTATGCTGAAAGCAATGGCCACGATGGGGTCGGGGTGTGGCAGTGGGGGCAGGGTGTCGGTGTGTTTGAAGGTGCGCAGTGGCTTGGGCGGCCAGTGTGTCGAAACGACGAAGGGCCCTGCCATCCGACCCTGTTCGACCTCCTTGCTGATTTCAGTGACCATGAGAGTCCAGCGGCCGTCGACCTTCTGTTGTTTGAGTTTGCGTTGTGTGTGTTCGAGCGCAATTCAATCAGGTAGGTCCGAGTTCGGCCCCGTCACTCTGAGGCGCATGCGCTTCCGGCTGACCGACCTGGACGGGAACGTCGTCCGGCTTCGGGAGTCGTCCTTGTCGTTCGTCCAATCTTGACCACGAAAAATTAAAAAGGATGGAGCCGACCAAGCGCAACAAGAGGAGACGCAGAAGGCACCGAGTCCACAAGATCCGCCTGGCCGACAGCTTCTGCCGACCGACCGGGGCCGGTACCTCTACTCAATGGACGGCGCTCGGGCGCCGCTCCCATCGGCGTCTTTCTCAAGCGCGAAATGCTCTTCGAAGCGCTTGTGGAACATCCCGTTCTTCGGCTTCAGGTAGTACACGAAGAGGAAGCTGTAGGGTTCCCGGGTCGCCTGCTCGTGCAACCGGTACGTCCTTCGGCAGCAGTGCGCTCAGCTCCTCGATGACGGCGTCCAGCTCGTGCTGGTTGCGCAGCCTCCAGCACCAAAGGAATTGCATGTTGACCCGCACGGCAGCGCTGATTGAGCCTCAGCTCCTGGGGGCTCACCCAGGCGTGTGCCGGATCGACCATGCGGAGGAGCCGCGTCAGGAGCGGAACTTATGTGAGCATGGTCGGTTGTCGGTATGCTCGCTTGCCGTGGTCCGGGAGTGTTTCGAACCATAGCTGTGTCTTGTCCAACATGGTGTTGGACATTGGACTGCAGGTCCGGAAGGTGTGGTATGGACCTTTGCATTTCGATGGCGCCCTGTTGGGTCGCACGGGTGAGGGCGCTGAACAACGAGTGCGTGACGTTGAGCCCGCTTGAGGTGGTCCTGCCAGTCGTTCTGTGGCATATGCAGGGCGTCGTTGTGGCGCGGTGGTGGTTTTCACGGCTGGGGGTTGTGTAGCCAGAGATCGACCACCGTGCCCAAGGAGCCTTTACGGACGTGTTGGATTGGTGGTCGGATCCCAAAGGACGGTTGTAGCAGGAGCAGGAAGAGGATCCACATGGCGGTTGGTACATGCCAGCAGTTCCCCAGCATTGTGTTGCGTGTGCGGTCAGAGTTGTTGTCCCCTGTCCATCCCCTTGAGAAGCCCATCATGGCTTCCCGGTGCTCGGGGGTTGCCACCTGCCAGTCACTACTCTGTTGATACTGCCAGGGTGCGAACTGACGTCCTCCCGCCTGCCATCTCTGCCAGGCAGATGTTGGCTACGCGTGGTGGTCGGCCCTCGTCTGTGTCTGGTTGAGTGGTAGGGCAATGGACCAAGTTGCCGGTGGTCAGTACGGCCGGTGGGGCGAAGTCCTTGATGTGGCAGTCGGGTTGTAGTTCGGCTGCGATGGCCAGGGTGTGTGTGTGTGTGTGCTCAGGGTCTGTGGGCGAGAGATGATATGGCCGTCTGCTGCGTTGACCAGGACCGGCTGGATCCCATATTGTGGGACAGTTGACGGAAGTCTTCCAGCACGTCCGAGAGTCTGGTTGGGCCATTGGTGGGTGATTTCGTCTCGTTTGATGCGCGCGATGTTGAACAGACGTTTCTGGGATCCGGTGCGGCCAGGCTGGCGTTGATTGATCCCAGAGTAGTCTTTGCAAGGTTTGCCTTTCCGTGACAAGGATGATGGGTTGTTCGACATTGGGGATCTCTCTCAGGTCTGCAAGGTGGTGGATATCGAATGACTCGACGGAGCCCATGTGGGTTGTTGGAAAGGTGGAGTGTGGGAGACTGTTGCAGGCAGGATCTGTCTCCCACCGGAAGCAGTGCGAGACCGGGGCGCCGAGCTGATGCAGAGCGCCGATGCCGTCGAAGAGAGAGATCAAAATGATGGGTGTGCGCTGTAAGAGTTCATTCCAAGGAGAATTGATATAACAGCTCCGCAGCTCTTTTCCCTCCAAGCGAGGCGAGGTGAATCGAGATAACCCGCATTTTCCTGTGACATTTGCGTTGGTATCCACAGCATGACTTACCTCATGCTGTGGCCCAGTCAATTCGCCGATATCCTCGGCTCCTCGGGTTTACCCCCGATCAAGCTCTGGGTGCTCTGCACAAAGCAGAAGGCATCTTATCATAGAGCTAACTGACTGACTGGGGGCCTGGTCCCCCACACATTCCCCAAGTGCGGCGCGCTCTTCAAAGATCACGGGCTTCCCAAACCCTCCACCCACAAAATAGGAAAGCCCGCGCATCAGGTCGACCAGCTCTGACCTCAGAGGGGAGTCCCCCTCGCCCCCGGGCCCCCTCAAGACTTCTTGGCAGCCCTGCGCTCCTTGGCTCCGTGGCTGTGGATTTCACAGAGCGACGACCGGAATACTGGAAAACCACCAGCAGCCTACGGGCAGACCACAGGGGAGCCAGATGTGTTGTTGCAGTTAGCACCTGTGTTAAAAGTAACAACTGCAAGCGAAAGGGCTTGAACCCGCACTTGAATTGGAATGCCAAGTGCTGTGCAATGCATGAGATGAATGCATATGTACCGATCACCATTTTGGCGATTTTTCCTGACCTGACCACCCTGGACCTTCAGCCCCTTCGGGATGTCGTGCAGCGGCACCAGCTCTTGGAAATGACCGAAGTCGCTCCTGACCATGAGCACCTGTACTTACGCTGTCTGTGTTGGAAGGCTTGGCACAACAGTGTGCCATCTTTCATGGCTCGCGCCACTAGACTGATGGGCTTCGCCAACTGGGGCTTA